TACTTTCTACACGAGGGACACCAAATATTTTCTTATCAGGCCAAATACAAATATTTTGGGCTTTGCCGGCCGAGTTGTCCCTGTCCCAACTACTCAGCTCTTCAACTCTGCCACTGCGTGGTGAAAGCAGCTTTATGGACATGGCTGTGTTCCAATAAAACTTTATTTACAAAATTCTACAAAAGGGCAGTGGGCCCCTGGGCCACAGTTTGCCAACCTGACCAGTGCTGTCCAGTAGAATTTTCTGCAGCAATAGAAATGGTCTGTGTCTGCACCTGTGTGGTGTGGTATAGCCACGTGTGACCATGGAGCACTTCCTAAGAGCCAGATTCTGCTGTGACTGAGGAACTAAATTTTTAATTTTATCTAATTTTCATGAATTTCAGCTTAAATAGCCACACGTGCCCAGGGATGACCATAGTGGACATCTTTTGGCAGTTTACAGACTTTCCTTCTGTTCCCTTCAGTTCCTTTGAGCTGCCCTCAGGTAATCCTGTGGAGTGGACCCGGGAGGATTTTGCTCCATTTTACAGATGAGGAAACTGAGGCAGAGAGGGGAAGTGGCCTGCCCAAAATCACAGAATTAGAGCTAGCACTGAATTCTGCAGACTCTTGGTCCACCACTAAGACCTTGGCCCCTTCCTTGCTCTTGACCTCTCTCCCTCTCTCCACCTGTCCCCCACCCAGGTCTCTCACACATTCTCCAACTACCCGCCCGGCGTCCGCTACATCTGGTTTCAGCACGGCGGCGTGGACACTCACTACTGGGCCGGCTGGTACGGCCCGAGGGTCACCAACAGCAGCATCACCATCGGACCTCCCCTGCCTTGACACCCCCCAAGCCCTGACCCGCCAAACCCTGACTGCTGTCAGAGAAGGGCTGGGTTAGGGAAGGGGAGGGGGACCAGGCTCCCCCAGACCTCCTAGTTCATCCTTGCCCCTCAGTTGCCTATTTTGTGGAGTCTCTCAGTTTGTGCGGCCCTCACAAGCCGTGGCGGGGCGGGGGGGCAGTGCTCTAGGCCCAAAGTCTCAACCTGAATGACGTCAGGGGAGGCCTGGTGTCGGGCTCTTTAAGAGATGGGGCCCCTGAGGTTGGGGAGGTGCAAGGTGTTCTCCCAGGCTCCTCCAAGCGTGGTCTCCAAGCTCAGATGCCAACCTAGATGTGTGTCTCTACCTTCCCCTCCTGGGTCCTTCCTCCCTGTCTCCATTGGGGGCCCTTGGAGCAGGGACAATCTGGACATCTGGCAAGCCTGTGGCTGCTCTGGATAGTGCAGATGCTGGGAGGTGACCATGTAGCTCAGCCAGATCTGGGAGTGGAAGGGGGGCTGTGCTGGCCTGTCCTCTGCCTCATCCTGCCACTCCCAAACTCTTTGCCTGCCTGCTCAGAGACGTGACTTTGACCCAGAGGCTCAGGTCTAGTCTGAGAGGGACAGGGCCAAGATGGAGTGGGGGCCAGGTCAGGTCTGGACGGGCCTCACTGTCAATGAAGCCCAGAAGTCAGATGGGTATCAGGTGGGGGTAGGATCTTCAAAAGACCCCTGAAATCCTGTGCATGGTAACCCAGGGCAGGGGAGGGGTGGATCAGACCCTGAATCTGAGAGCTGGGGCACTTACGCCCTGGGATGAGGTGACTGGGTGGTTTTCAAGGACCACCTGTCTGCCTCTATGCCTAGACAAGCTTCCCCGGGCTTGGAATGTCCTACCTACCCTTGGAACTGCCTTTCCTTGCACCTCCCCACCCTGCCCAACCTCACTCCTGCCTCTCCCTCCTGCTGGAAGGACAGCAGTGCTCGGATTCTGCCCCTGCTGCATGCAGCTAAATAAAAGGTGTTTCCAGCCCTACCTTTGTCCTGTGGTTTCTGGGAGGAAAGGCAAATTTAATGGGAGGTCCAGCCTTGGACCTGCAGAAGGTGAGCCTGTGTGGCTTCTGTCCAAGGTGCAGGGAATGACGGACACTTCAGGAGGCCGACTATGGCAGGACCAGGGCCCTCATACAGACTCCTTAATGAGCTGCCAACATCTCACCCCAGCAGCCCTCCAGTACTGCTAGCTTCTTCCAGAGGCCCGGCCACAAAGCTGGGGTGAGGGGGGAGCAGTGGATATCTGAGATACACCTCATGCTGGGTGTGCCGTCGCAGGCTCACTGTTCGCTGGCATCTTACTTACTCTGCCAAGAGCTTTACTGACATTAGGTGAAGCCAAAGCATTTAGAACGGTGTATGGCACACAGTACGTGCTCGATGTACTGTTTAATTATCTCAGTAGTCAGCTGGATTAGGGCCTCAGCCTTGGCAGGGACACCACTCACTAGCTATATGTAAGTTAGCAGAAGACACCCTTGGGGGACATGCAGCCCTGACGAGTTAAAAAGGTGGCCTGGGCCGGGCACCTTTGCGCAGTGCACAACCTGCACAACCCTTTCTGGTTGCCTTAAGTAGGTGCTTGATGATTACCTGTTGAAGGAGTTAAGGAATTGATGACAAAAATGTGGAGATTTTTACCCTTGAGTAAACTGAGGTCTCCCTGAGGCCGAACCCTAGTGAAGTTAAAAGCCCCGCTCCAGCCCTCTAGAGTGTCAACAATCTCCTTCCGGAGAGAGTCCCGCCTCCCTCCCTACAGCGGAGGGAACTCGCTAAGCAGCCTCAGAGTGGTCCGCGCAGAGGTAGAGATTAGGTTAGGTGAACGCCCTCTCTTCCCGGAAAGCAAAGGGAAGCGGTGGGACCCTGTTGCTGAGCCGCCGATTACGTGGAGGAGAAGACAGGTTGAGGCTACGAGGTCCGGGGAGCCCGTCGCGCGAGCCCCGGCACTGCGGACCCCAAGATCCCCGCCCGGTAGCTGTGGTAGAAACGGGCTGCGGGCGGGGGGAAGGCGGTGGGCGGGGAGAAGGCGGTGGGCGGGGCGGGGCGGGGCGGGGCGAAGCGGTGGGCGCGGCCCCGGAGCCCGAGGGGGCCGTCCGAGCGCGCGCGTGACACGGGGCGGGGCGACAGTGGACAGCGCCGCGGAGGCCGGAGGCTCCAGACCGACGCGGAGGTCCGGTCCAGCCGGGCGTCCAGCCCCGCGTCCAGGTCGCGGCCCAGCTTGGGGAACGGGCGCGGCGCGGGGGAAGGCGGGGGAAGGGCTGGGTGTCCTACACCCGAGGGCGGGGGTGGCGGACGGGGGGCGGGGCGTTAACTGAGCCGGTGGCGCTGTCCACCGCGGGCCTCCGGGGCCGCGGCGTAGGGGCCCGGGCGGCGCGCGGTACGCGCGAGACCAGACCCCACGCGGCCGGGCCCTGGCTCCGACTCCGGGAAGTGCTGCCTGGGAGCGACACCCTGTCCACAGCTCGCTGGTGGCGCCCCAGCCCAGGGCCGATCTGGGACCTCCCGGCACACGCACGCCCTCCGGTCCTGGGACGGGCCAAACTTTTCCAAGCCTCAGCTTCTGCTTTTGAGAAACGGGCTTAGTAACCGTTCTTACAGGGGTCGTTGAGAAGGTCGCGACTCGGGCCGGGCACGTGGGAAGCACAGGGACACCCCCCCCCCCGGTGGTGGGGGAACCTCACCCCATGCCCCATTCGTGCGCTGTCAGGCCTCGCCCTAGACCCACGAACGCCAGAAACTAGGGGAGGGGGTGCGACGAATAACGTGCGACCAGAGCCAGAGACCAGACTCTGGACGCCTGGGTGAGGAGCTCTTCGCACCTAAGTCGCCTCTGACTCCCACCCAGAGACTTTTATTTGGCCTAGTCGGTGCTTTTAGAAGTTGCCAACATTTAAAAATCGACAGGTTTCGTATTTTCGAAACTGCTTATGTAGAGTTCCTTCTGAAAAAGCAGAAGACCTAGCCACATGGAGTTTTTCCCGTCATAGCATTTTTGCACAAGGTACAACTACCTTATTTATTGTTCTCTGCCGGGCTGACATGTTCCTGTCTGGGCGGGAGCCACAGGAGACTGTGCGTCTGCTCTCGTTTTTGCTGGGATGGTAGCTTTGAGAAGTCTGTGGGAGGATTCTTTGGCCAAGTCTCTGTGGAAAATGAGAAACCTCCTCAGAGACTTCACCTGTGGAAGGAGAATAATCCCTCCCCCTCCCACCTGTGAGCGGATAAGACCCATCTGAGTGACAGGGGCTGGCCTTCCTGCCCCGACCCCACCCCCACCCTGGGCGGGGGTTCCCTTAGAGATCTGAACAGCCCGGCAAGATTCAGGCCAGGGTAGTGGCACTGTAAAATTTTCCAAAACCCTTGTGCCATTCAGGTGTAGAGGGAGGAAGGTGTTCTTGGGAGCCGCTGGCTACTACTGACGAGCGTTTTTGCCCTAATGATAGAGAAGTAATGATGTCCGCCTGGTGCTAAAGGCTTGCCTTGTACTAACTCAGACCTCCCGGCCCTGCTGAGGCTGGGACAGTCATTCACTCCTCTTAAGGCTCCCCAGCTAGCCACTGCAGGCCAGGATTGAACCCCCGGGCGGTCTTGCTCAGGGTCCCTCAATCAGCTTTGCAGTCTGAGCATTTCAAAATGGGCTCTGGCCTGATGCCCCAACCAGGGTGGAGAGGCAGGTCCTCCTCGCTGCGGTCTTATCACATCCGGCTTCCAGGTCAACGTGAGCGATTTGGGGAGAAGTTGGTTTTAGCAACTAGCCCCACCACTTAATGAAGCTGTGACACAGAACGTGAAATCTTTCTTACACCCACAGACGAACAGTGAATTCCCAGCACTGAAATAACCTGACCACAGACTTCTGTAGAGCTTACAGACAGTGGCGTGGCCTTGTCAAGGTCTGCCAGCTCACTGGGCCCGGCAACTTAAAATAAAGCAATTATTTTTTTAACAGGGCAGGGGGATAGGGGAGGAATGGGTGCAGGGGGTGGGGGTCAGGAGAGGGCCTCTTTAAATATTAGCCCCTGAAGTCTTTGTTAATATTTTTATTACACTCTTTCAAATGTGTGTAACGTGTGTGAGTGCTCCGTATTCTGACGGCCCACTGCGTACCCAGAAGGCCCGACCCCTCTTGTTTCACAGAAAGGATGAAGAGCCCCTGGCCCAGGTCCCTGGAAATCTGAGGGGTCCACCTCCTTGGTCAGGGCTCATAAACACTGTTGCCCCCTACAGGCCTGAGGGCGCCCCCGCCTCCCCCCGGCCCCCCACCAGCCATGGCCCTGGTCAGCATCAACGAGCTGCCCGAGAACATTCTGCTGGAGGTGTTCACGCACGCGCCCGCCCGCCAGCTGCTGCGCTGTCGCCTGGTCTGCAGCCTCTGGAGAGACCTCATTGACCTGGTGACACTCTGGAAGCGAAAGTGCCTGCTGGAGGGCTTCATCACCGAGGACTGGGACCAGCCCGTGGCTGACTGGAAGATCTTTTACTTCTTGTGCAGCCTCCGCCGGAATCTCCTGCGGAACCCGTGTGCGGAAGGTGGGCTGGGGGCTGCCCCGGGGCTGGCTCCCCACCTTTCCTGAAACCCAGGGCCTTTGCACCTGCGATTCCCACACTATGTGGAATGTTCTCTCTCACAACCCTGACACCTATACCACTCGCCCTTGGTTTCTCCTCGTTCTTCGGGTCTCCGACATGTGGCCTGGTCCCCCTGCTCCCCCATCTTTATCCTGTCTGTCCCGTTTTGTTTCTCCGTAGCGCCTTCATAACCTGTAATTATGTTTTATCTCATGGCTTTGGGTTGTTGTTTTTTTTTTTTTTCTCTGTTACAAACTTCAAGGTCCAAGGGCCTAATGGGTCTTGGTCACCACTCTACCGACACAAGTGTCCACAGTGATGCCTTCACATAGTGCTTGAAAAACGTTTGTTGAATGAACAAACTGCACATTCAGCTTTCCCTCTCTTGCTCCGTCTAGGCTGCCTGACTCATACAGAGGTTCCCTCCATGCTGGGCCCTAGACTTTGCTGGGCTCGGGGCTTCACAAATGTCCTTATCCTCCTGTTGGAAGGAAAGGATTTTCAGAGATGACTGTAATCACATCATTTGAGGCCCCTGTTTAACTTACTAGGTTCTCTTGTACTTGCCAGGGTCTTTTTCCTTCATTGAGCACCTACTGCATACCACGCACCAGGCTTCTTGTGGGGGCTAGGGCAACAGTTAATGGTTTGTACATAGTTTGTACGCTTAGAATCCCCGTCGTGTCGATTTTCTCTCTTGAGCCTCACGAGGACCCCGGGAGTTAACCAAACAAGCAGGGTTGGCTCCATTTTATGGGTGGGGAGTGTTAGGCCCCATGGTGAGGGTCCTGCCCTGAAACTGCCCAGTTGCCGGGGCCTGGTCCTGACCGATGAAGGCCCTCAGGCCCCTCTCAGAGTCCCCATAGGCCATGGCTAAGATAATCTCTCTGCCTGCCCCAGATCCCGCTCAGAAGCTGCCCAGCCAGGCCACCAGCTCAGCTCGCACAGCTCCACAGAGCCCGCCTGCAGCCCCAACTTACACTGGGCTGTGGGCTGGCAGCCGTCAGTCCAGCCTCACTTGGACCTCCTTGAGCCTGAGCTCGGCACAGCCCGCTCCTGGATTTCTGTGGTATTCCTCTGCTTCTCTCCTGGCAGGCCCCAGGGCATCTGGGGAATAGGTGCGGGCTCCTAGTAGAGGGAACAATTTGGAAAAGTTCCCTTGGTGATTGTTCTGGAAAGCCTTGGTAGGGAAACACTGCTGGGTGTAAGGTCCTCTCAGTTCAGTGTGGAGGAGGAGACCAGAACCTGCCAAGCCAGACTGGTGGGGATCGCGAATACGGGGTCGCTGTGCGCCTCCAGCACTGAGGATGGCCACCTTCACGGTTATCCCTCCCACCCTGGGCAGAGGGGCTCCGAGCTGGCACAGCAGCAAACCCAGAAAATTGTTCCGTGGGCCCCCCGGGGTCTCAGTTACATAGTTAGGGTGTCAGGGGAAATGCGAGTCATCACGTAAGTGGTCTGCATTGGGACAAACGGACATTAGTCATTGAACAGAAATATTATCATAGGCCCTTCATAACTTCCTGTTTTGAGAACTGAAACTTCAGTATTTCCCAGAATCCCCCAGCAACACCAAAGGAAGAAAAGGCTAGTTTAGAATTCCTGGTAATACTTTTTTTTTTTTTTACCCCCTCCAGCCTCATGTTAGGAGTCAAACCAGTCAGGGACGAAGTGGGAGAGAGAAGGTCCCAGATCAGAGCTGATGTGGTGAGGACAGGTGGAGACACGCTGGGAGGAAGGGCACTGTGTCAGGGTGCTTCGAGGCACAGCTGGGGTGCACACTTGAGATGGGAGCCTGAGCAGGCCATGCCTTAACCCCCTCCTCCCTCCCTGGCCCGGGGGGGCAGGACCAGACCAAACATTTACACAGGGGATCTGACCTTGGCTTCTGTTTTTCCCTAGAGGATCTGACATCCTGGCAAATTGACTCCAATGGCGGAGACGAGTGGAGGGTAGAGAGCCTCCCTGGAGACCATGGGACAGATTTTCCAGACTCCAAAGTCAAGAAGTACTTTGTCACATCTTTTGAGTAAGATTAACAACCGAGCTGGCAGTGTCGAGAGGGAAAAGGATCAGGACCCCTTTTGCCAAATCTCAGGCCTAAGTGAGGGCCCCCCTGTGCACCTGGAGGAAGGCAGTTCCCAGATGGGCTCAGAGTCCCACTTTCCTAGAGCAGGAGTACTCAGTGGCCACGATTAACAGCCGTGGAGGGTGGAGACCAGTACGGGGGCCTGGGAGCCACTGGGTGACTAGGGTGAGGCAGAGATACCTATAGGTTCCTCATCTAGGAACTGGGGTTCCTGGAGGTGCCCTTGAACTAGATCACGTGTCACCTAGGCACAGCTGGGTCAGGGCCCCTGCGTGTTTCTCCTAGGCCAGCGACAGCCAGAGGCAGAGGTCCTGCAGCAGTCTGGGGACACTGCTGGGTCCTGGCCGTGCAAAGCACACCTGGGAACATAAGCCTTTCCTTTTGCTCCCCAGGATGTGCCTCAAGTCCCAGCTGGTGGACCTCAAGGCCGAGGGCTACTGGGAGGATCTGCTAGACACGTTCCGGCCTGAAATCGAGGTTAAGGACTGGTGAGTGGGGCTCGGGCCATGCTCCGCAGCCTTCCCTCTTCTCTTCCTGAGGATACCTAGAGGCAGTGCTCACTCTTTGCCTGGCGGTGTCCTGGGGTAGGCGGTGTCCTGGGGTAGGCGCTGCCCCGGGAGCTGGCACTTGCTCATTTCACACCTCCTGGCCTTCCTGCCACTGTGCATCAGGAGATGCTAATTCCACTTTACAGATGGGGAGACCGAGGCCTACCCATAAGCTGTCACAGACGGTACTAGAGCCTCAGAGGCAGCACGACCCAGCCTCCCTGGACCTCGCTCCCTTCCCTTCCATCCCATCTGCCTCCCCTGGCCCCTTCTCTGGGCTTCCCTCAGCTCTTTCCCAGGCTCCTGCTCTGTGCCCAGAGCTGTGCAAGGCTCTGGCTTGGCCCACAGTGGAAACAGGACCCCAGTGCCAGCCAGGGCTACCACTCTAAGGGTGTGGGAGGGGTGGTATTGAGGAACGTGCGGAGGGGTGGACAGCAGGGCTAAGCAGAGGGTGAGCTCTGCCAGCTCCCATCACACAGGCCGTCCCTTGGATCTCCCACTGAACCCCCACTTTGAGGCATGATAACATACAGATGGCTCAGCTCCCACAGCCCAGGCCTTTATCTCTGTAGAGAGCCTTTTCATGTGTTAAGGGAACATCTTCACTGGACACCCAAAAGGGTTGCCACTTTGCTCTGATATGGCCCCGCACAGAGAGACTGCAGACCCCAGGGGCATAGGAGGGCCCAGAGAGCAGTGAAACCAGCTGGGCCTCGGGCTCCAGTCTGTGGGTCTGCTGCCTGCCCTCCTCCAAGGCCATCTTCTGTCTGGGGGTGCACAGTGCTGAGCCCCACCTGCCCCCAGGTTCGCCGCCAGAGCCGACTGTGGCTGCACATACCGCATCCGAGTGCAGCTGGTCTCAGAAAACTACATCGTCCTGGCCTCCTTTGAGCCCCCGCCTGTGACCATTGATCAGTGGAACAGTGCCGAGTGGACAGAGGTGAGGCCTTTTCCTGCTTGGCCCTCACCACCCCCTTCTCGGGGACCTCCTGCAGGACCTTCCTCTTCCCCTCTCCAGCAGATTGATCACCCCATCTTTCTCCTCCCCAGTCCTGGTGATCTCTTCTTCCTCTCCCTTCCTCCCAGGTCTCCCACACTTTCTCGGATTACCCGTCAGGGGTCCGCCACATCCTCTTCCAGCACGGGGGCAAGGACACCCAGTTCTGGGCAGGCTGGTACGGGCCCCGTGTCACCAACAGCAGCATCATCATCACCCCTAAGATGACCAGGGACCGGGGGCCCTCCACGGCTCCGCCTGAGACCCTGTAGGGGCAGGAGAAGGCTGCCCACCTGCCCTCCTCACTTCATCTCCACGGGCCCTTCTGACAGTCCGACATCCGCTGGCCATTCAGCCGTCCTCTCTCTGGGCCGCTTGACTTCCGGAGGTCCCCTCCAGCTGAGCCTGTCGTGGGCAGTGAGGGCCCCTACCTTGGGAGCCCCCACCCCAGTTCCAACCTTGGGCAAACCCAGCAGTTTGTGGCAACTCCCTGTCATATACTCTGACGTTTCATGACAATAAATGTTTTCAGTAAAACCAGCCTGGGGTGGGGTCTAGTGGCGGAAGCCCTGGTGGCTTCGGTGGAGAAGCTTCCCCTCCTCCCAGGTTAGTTCGGCTCCTCCTGTCCCTCCCACTCCAGGTAGTGACTGCCCAGCTCAGCCCTCGGGGCCATTTATTGAAACAACTCACAGCACAGTATTCGAGACAGACAGTGTTGGCCGGCCAAATCCCAGGAGGCTAAGATCAGAAATCACAGTCCGAGCATCCGTCCCTGCCTTCCTGGGAAGAGTTTCTCCATGAAGGCAAGCAGCCCTGAGCAGCGCCGTGCTGGAGGGTGGGTGGTCCATACACAAAGGCAATAAGAGCACTTGGAATCAGGGTGGCCCTACAGCACTGCCCTAGGCTGGGGCCCCCAGTGTCCAGCGGTGGGAGCGTCCACGGTGGGGGCAGGCACACCCTCAGCTGCTTTTATGAGCTCGCTCTTCCACGTAGAGCTGCATCTGGTGGACAGGAGTACACAGACAAGGTCAGGAGGACAGCCCGGGCACCTCCTGAGGAGTGCCCACAAGCCCCAGGCAGATAGATCTCTGCCAGAGGCTGGGGTTGTGTGGCGCAGCCACCGGTTAAGAGAAAGGCAGTTTGGAGCCTGACACCAGGCACTCCCTGGTCGTCTCCCACACGCCTTGAGCCACGCAGAAGCCTCTGGCAAGGCCTCAGCACACCTTCCATAAAGCTTACCAGGTACCCACACAGCTCACCTTTAAAATGTCTGACGTCATGGTTTTTAGTGGGATCAGCCGGGGGTCGTGCATGTGGACATCCTGCTCGTCTGCCAGGATCCAGGGAAAGTCCTAGGGTGGGAGACCGGGGGACGCTAGACTGTGGCCTGCCCTCACTTCGCGACCCCCTCCCTCTCCAGAGCTGGGGATCCTCAGACTTCAGGGAACAGCAGAATCACTAGGGAGCTCCCGGCAGGACAGATGCCCAGGCTCCTGAGAGGGCGAGTCTACAGATCCAAGCTGGGCTGGGAACCCAGTGGTTTAACTGGCCCCAGGCACCAATTCTGAATCGGGGGGAAGGGGTGGCATCGAGAACTGCCACCGAGCCAGCAGCCCCAGGACATGGCTCCGCCCTCCTCTCCGTGCTGAGTGCCCAGGCTGGGCAATGACAAGCGTGTGACCACCCAGGAGACATACCACAAAAAGCCACCAGCTGCTGGGCACTGCCGTAAGCAAGGTAATGAGCGCACTGTCAGCGGCACCCCTGCCTGCTCTGGTTTTCAGGGCCTCCCGGTTGCTTCTTCCTGCCCACCTTCCCCAGCCCATCTCATCTCACCTTGATGACCTGAATCTTCTCCATGTTTCGTGTGGCAGCTTCTCTCGTGTGCACTAAGACAGTGAAGGTACAGCCTGAAGAGGCAAGAGTTTGGTCAGGGCCGGGCCACCTCATGCCTGCCACTGGGCATAGCCTCTTCCCACCTCCCCAGCTGGCTCGGCAGCCCCCCAAGAGGAGAAGAGTGGAAACCAAGGACCAGGACAAGACACAGTCAGTAGGGAGCCCGAAGCGGGTGGAAATCAGGGTAGCTTCCTGGAGGAGGTGGACTCTCAGAGAAGTTCTAAATGGCAGGAAGGAAGAGAGGCGGCTTGCTGCAGCCAAGTAGGAACCTGAGAACACAGACCAAGCCAAGGGAGCCCTGGCCATGCCTGAGGGCGGGGGCGTGGGGGGTGAGCACACCTGGAGGGTTGTGGTCCAGGACAGCATCACATACACTAATCTTCAGGATGAAGGCTCGGAGCAGCTGCTCCACATGAGACAGCAGGGAGTCTGAGCTGGAAGGAGAAAAGGAGGGTCTCCCATCACCCTGGCGCCCCCTCCCACCAGCAGGCAGTCAACCCTGGGAGCAGGCCTGGGGGCCCAGAGCCCCTCTCTGCTTCTGAGTGTGTTGGTTTCTAAGGGCCTGGCTACTTATCTTGTCTACACAGTTAAAACCATCTGAAAACCAATGTCAAGTGCCATCCCAAACTAAGTCCAAATGGGACACAGGGAGCCCCAGTAGGTCGTTCTAATATGCAGCCCAGTCTGAGAACAAGGACACAGCCCAAGCCTGTTCATACCCTGGGACACCAAGCCAGGAAGGGAGAGGGACTGCCTGAGCCTACACCTTGCCCCAGGAAGCCAGCAGCTGACCAGCCAATACCCTTGCCCAAGGTCAGCTTCTGGTTGCCTACAGACTGGACACTTGACTAGAAAGGCAGAAAACTGGGTCTGTGTCCTAACTCTGTCACCATTTGGGTGACCCTGGGTAGCTCATGTCATCTCTCCGGTCCTTATCCATCTGGAACATCAGGTTGGGACTAGCCCTTCAGCAACACTATGATCTTCCAGGTGTGGACATCACAGAGGTTACATGGAGAGAGCACTGGGTGGCCAGCTGTGGCTCGGCTGCTAACAGGCCTTGGGATGGTGCACCTTGCCATTCTCTTTACCAAGCTTCCTGGAGTAGGTGGACTCTCAGAGGGGTTCTAAAGGGCAGGAAGGAAGAGAGGCAGCTTGGTGCAGCCAAGGAGGGACCTGAGAACGCAGACCAAGCCAAGGACTTCGGGGGCTGCCGTGAGACCCGTTTCTAGAGACTTCACAGCAGTCTCCAGGAGACCAGGAAGAAGCAGCTTACCTGATGGACAGCAGTGGCGGCTGGGTGATTTCAAAGACGAATTTCTCCACTGGGCGGTGCTCTTTGTCCAAAATCACCACCACCACCTTCTCCACGTCATTCTGCAAGAACAGGAATCCCCTATTCCAGAACCAGGTAACCCACCACTACCACCACCTCCCCGCCCCAGGGAGGATGGGAAGGACCCACGCACAGCCCTGTTCAGCTTCTAGGCTGAGGGTCCCTGAGAGCCCAGAAGGTTTGAAAAGTTCAAGTAGGCACACTCCCTGACATGAGTGGTACAGACTGAGACAGGAGAGGCTGCCTGGGCCTTAATGGGGCTACATCTCAGAGAGAAGGAGGAAACTCTGAGGGGCCAAGCCCAGACAGAACTTAGGGGTGGGAAGAGAAACAGACGTGAGCTCTGGGGCAGTCAGGCCCCAATCAGCCAGCTCCACTCACCAGGGCTCCCGGGCCCCAGCACACAGGCTCATGTGTCCTGACATCTGTCCCTGGGCAGGGACACTCCAGGACAATCCTGTACCCACTCCAGGGTACAGGAGACAGGCTTTAGGGTGTAAAGTCATTGGGGACCCTGCATGGTCCTAGCATCACCCCATCCTGGAGTGCTGAAGGAACAGACTGGGGGTAGAGGTGGGCTGGGGGACTTGGTGCCCTCACCTTCTCCAGGAGTGGCTTGACACAGTGCAAGGTGTCCTGGATATACTGGTTCAGCTCCGGGTGGCAGGACATCTACACACAACCCCATGATGGCTCGTGAGGCCTGAAGCACCAATGGGAAACCACCCAACACCCCTCCAGGAGCCCAGGGAGAGAGGCCGGCAGCTCCCTAGGGCTCCACACCCAAGACACTGACTTCCCATCATGGGGCTAAGAACTGTGAAGTTAGAAGAATTCAGTCCCAACATCAGCACTTAATATAGCATTGGGGGTTTCTAATGGGTCCATGGGCTCCTCCAGGGGGTGAGAAGTCCCTAAATTGTGTGTATTTGGGCATACAAGCATTTTTCCGAGAGAAGGGATTCAAAAATTTAATCAGTTTTCAAAAAATTGAGAATCTGGAACTAAGAGCTATGTGGTCTTAGGTAAATCACTTAGTTTCTCTGAGCTTGACTTATTTCATCTGTGCAAAATCTCGTAAAGACAAAGTGAAGAGTGGATAAGCACCCAGTACACAGCAGGCGCCCAATAAACGCTATTCTGTTTTCACTGTACATCCTTCAAGCCTCCACCACCTTCCAGTATGGGGTCATCCATTTATTTTAACATTTACGAAGTGCCTTCTAAGGGGCCAGCACTTCTAGAGTGGGGAGAGGGGAGCACATACTTACTGCTTTGTCTGCCTTTTGGACCTGAGACAACCCATTACAATGAAGGCTGAAGGAAAGCACCTGAGGTTTCTAGGAATCACCTCCTCAAAGCAATCATTCATTCATCAGCCTCAGGAGCTCTTTTAAATACAACCATGCCCCACGGGCAACTCTGATCCCAGGGCCTGGTCCCTAACTTCAGGCAAGAGGAACTCCAAGTTCAGAGGGGACGAAAAGCAAAGTCACTGCAGCAGGGGTGGGAGGCTGTCAGGCTATCAACTGAGAACTGGAAGGCAAGGCCAGGGGCACCTGGGTGGCTCAGTGGGTTAAGCCTTTGCCTTTGGCTCAGGTCATGGTCTCAGGGTCCCGGGATCGAACCCCACATCGGGCTCTCGACTCGGCAGGGAGCCTGCTTCCTGCCCCCTCTCTGCCTGCTGCTCTGTTCTTGTGATCTTTCTCTCTACCAAATAAATAAAATAAAATCTTAAAAAAAAAAAAAAAAATAGAAGCCAAGGCCAGCCTGCTGGTGAATGTGGTGGGGGAAGGGGCCTGAGCCTGCAAGTGGAGGATGGTTCAAAAATCCACCCTCTAGGGACCCCTGGGTGGCTCCGTTGGTTAAGTGGTTAAGCATCTGCCTTTGGCTCAGGTAGTGACCCCAGGATCCTGTGACAGAGTCCCACATCGGGGTCCTTGCTCCTTGCTCAGCGGGGAGCCTGCTTCTCCCTCTGCCTGCTGCTCCCTGTGCTTGTGCTCACTCTCTCAATCTCTCTGACAAATAAATAAAATCTTAAAAAAAAAAAAAATCCACCCTCTACCCACCCTGTGGTGACCCAGTGGCCCCCGCCCAGATGCGCGGGGGGGGGAGGGGGGGTCGGGTGGGGGAGCGCTCACCTGGACAGGCACGTTGTACTTCTTACGCTTCTGGAAGATACCCACCGGGTAGACCTCGCGCACGTAGAGGATGAGGTGCACAGCTACCTCCAGGAACTCGCAGAGCACGTCGGCCACCACTGCCAGGGGACAGAAGCCGGTGAGCTGGGAAAGCCCGCCGGCCCAGG